ATATATATATAGCTGAATGTAATGAGAATGAAAATAATATATAAATTATAACATTCACGGCATTAATTCAAAAGGGTGTTCAATACCGAGAGTAGAGCAATAATTATTTATTATAATTTTTTGTATAGACAAAAACAATTTACTCACTACAAAGATGCAACCTTGTTTTGGTGCATTTAGTACAAACAGAATTGTTCATAACCATTTTTGTTCTCACCTGCCATGATGCAACTAAATGCACCGAAACAAGGTTGCATCTTTGTAGTGAGCAAATTCTTTTTGTCTATATGAAAAAAATTATATATACATTCTACATCGCATACAAACAATATTCAGGCCCCAAAACAACTCCATCTGCTTAGACAGGGAGGACTGCAGGAACTTGGCATATATTGTCTCTAGAATTAGAAAAACTCCAGAATACATTTTACATGTAAGACAACATATGCTTGGGATTATGCAGCTCCAGCCCCAAGTATGGCAGCAATGCCTCATTTTATTTTTATATATATATATATATATAAATAAAGTCATCCACAGACAGACTGTTTCGCTGTTTCACAGCTCATCAGTGTGGCTAGACATCCGGTTGCCTCTAGCTAGGATCGAAACCCAACTGAATTAGTGTCAGTCGGAGATTCTACCACTAAGCCGTCGGTGCACGGCAGGGATGAAGGTGAATTTTAGCATATTTATTTTTTGATAAACACACACAGTGACCGACAGTGACTCAATTCGCTTTTTGCTGAAGAGTCTCGCTATAATAGTCACTGTTTACAAATTCACATCAGAGAGCTATATATATATATATATATATGATTCTTGTAAATATAGATCCTGGTAGCTGGATTTGGGTGCCTTCTGGAATGATACAAAGAACCATCCATTTTTTTTTTTTTTTTTTTTTTTTATCTCAGCCTCTTTAGCAATGGATCATCACCTTGAGGTCTGGAATGAGCTTGCATCCAAATATGTTTGTTTAATGATTGGTATCAATTTGTAAATTCCTTCTTAACCATTCCTTCTGAGTTCAATATAAATTCTTTTCTCTGCTGGTTCAATTGCATACCAATTTTCAGTTCTACATATAGGAAGCAACAGATTTTCTCGAGAATATTTGCCAAATTCTGTCATGCTTTGTTTAAATGCCCAGAATGATTAACAAGTAATAATGCCTATTTTTATATCATTATGAGGGAAATATGTATGAGAAAGTGGAAAAAGATTTTGTGTTATGAGTTTCCTCCTTTAGGACTTCATTGGATTAAATTTGTTTGTCAATGTGACTTCACATGAATGAGAGATGCTGGGAATTTTAATTTTTTTTCTTTTTTTATATGCTTTGGGTATATAATCTAGTTGATTTTATTTAGATTCATTTTTTTACTAAAAAAAAAAAAAACAATAAGCTAACACTTGAAAGAGGGTTTTACTATATCACTTGTAATAATTGTCACAAAAAATACATAGGAGAAACCTCCAAAGAATTTAAAAAAAGATTATATGAATACAAAAGGGGCATTTCATGATACAACACATTAAATGCATTAGTTGTTCACTAGCAAGACTGGCCACAATTTTGATATAAAAAAAGAATGCTTCTCTGATCAAAGGAGAAAACTTCACTAAGATGAAAAAATATTTTTCATTTTTTTTTTTTTTTTTATGTGTGTGTTTTTGGTATATAATGTAGCTAATTTCATTTAGTTTCTTTTTTGTTTATTAAAAAAATAACAAAAAACAAGAAGTTAAAACTTGAAGCTGGGTGGATTTACTCTATTGCATGTAATAATTGTCACAAAAAACACCTAAGAGAAACTTCCAAGGAATCTAAATATAAAGATTATATGAACATAAGAGGGACATTTCACAAAACAACATGTTAAATGCATTAGTTGTTCACCATACCAAGACTGACCACAATTTTGATATAAAAATGCTTTTCTGATCAAAAGAGAAAAAAATTCACTAAGACAAAAATCACTTTTGTTATTAGATATCCCACACTGTGATAATAGAAGATCTGCCAGGAATGGTAAAATGTTGTAAGAACCTGAACACAAAATGCTATGATCGCTAGTAAATTTGTGTCCAGGCTCTTACAATATTTTACCATTCCTGGCAGATGTTCTATTATCACAGTTTGGGATATCCAATAACAAAAGTGATGGAAACAAAAAGAATATAACTGAAATTTGCTTGAATTATATAGCCAAAACACATAAACTCTATAATTTTAAATTCCCAGTGTCTCTCGTTTGGGCACATGTGTAGTTGCATTGATGTAAACATAAACTTAGTCTGATGAAGTCCTAAAGGACGAAACCTGTCACAAAAACTTTTTCCACTTTTTCATGCATCTTTCCCCTAAAATTGTTCTTGATACATAAAAATTTGTATATTATTGTGAAGAAGTATCCCGTTCACCAATTCTTCATAAAACGTCAGGTTGATCCAACTGCTAAACACGTAGCTTCCTAATGGTATAACTGACCAGTGTTTTGTGTTCCAATTACTTTCTTGCTTATTAATGAAATAACTATTTAAAATATGGATTCACTATTAGAAAGTACTAAATTCAAACATACATACTACACAGTCATTTAAATACCATATCCATATGTATTGTGAGAACTAATAATTTTTTTTTTTTTTTACAAAAGAATAAAAGATAAAGAAAAATTTTAATTTTTTTAATTCAGCACTAATATATATATATATATATATATATATATATAACCTGCAATTAGCAGTAATTATATTATTTTTAGTGTAAAGAACCACGTGTTTCCACATGAGTGTTTCCATAAATTGCTTGGATCTCTTAGTTTTTGCTGGAGACATCAGGTCATTCCTCTGACCATACCCTATCTACTACAGTGAGTAGGTACTGTCTGGGGAGATGGGTCTCCAGGCTTCTACCCTTATTTTTAGCCATGAGTGATCAGAATAATCCTAACCCCTGGCAAAGCCAGGTAAGCATATGAAATTGGTCATAATTAAACTTCTGAGGTATCCTTAATGAATCATTTCCATGTGAATCCTGATTTTACGAGAATCTACCAAATTGTGCAAATTTTATATTTGTTCACTCAACCAATCAAAAAAAAAAGTGACTATAAGAGAGGAATAAAAATAGTAAAATAAGACAGGGGTGTATAGTTTCTAATTAAGAAAAATTTCAAACATTAATACTTGGGAGAGGGGATTTTTTTTTAATCATTAAATCAGGATTCTGCTCGTTCCTTAGCACCTGTCAATACCTCATAAATAATGGGCTATTCCATCTTGATCAAGGAGAGACAGAAAAGACATATCAGAGACACAGTTTGGTTTTAGTGAGAAATAAATTGGAGACAACATTTGTATTTAACATCTGATTCAGTGAAATGTAAAACATTGCCAATTTCAAATGTTTTCATTTGTACCCTCTTACTTTCAGATTTATGATTGTTGGGTTTTAGAGTTGTAGAACTCGCAATCATTAACTTAAAAAATATGATTGATCAGAAAATACATATTGGAAAACTGAACTTTTCATGGGTACTACTGGTAGTGTTTATAATCAGGGTTCAAATCTATATAATGATAAAGAGATATAAGTGAAATTTCAGCTATTTACTATTTATGGAACATCTAAGAACCTGTTAATTTCTTGAAGCGTCAAGAATGAGATTTGCTTACCCTGTTTGTCAGCTCTCTTTCCCATGTATTCAATCAATTTATCAATATACAGGGTGTGTCCCTAAAGCCTGGACACAGGCAAAAATGTATATTTTCAACAACATTTTATTGAATAGGGATAACAACAAATAAAATGTTCAATATGATTTCCGTCATTTGTGATGCAAAGGTTGATGCACTTTGCAAGATTCATGTGAACTCTACATAATAACTCCATATTGCCATCAATTTTAGAACATTCCCTCTTTATGCATTCAATAAAGTGTTTTGCAGCTTTGATTTCCATTGAGTACACCTTATTGTTTAGTGTACCCCAGAAAAAGAAATCAATTCTTTTTTTTCTTTTGACAAAATCAGGTTTAATCTGTGGAGGTAAAAAAAAAATATAGTTAATGAGATTTTCTATGTACCCAGAGTTTAGGGACACCTTGTACAGGGGTTAACAACATTAGATTAAAAAGGTAATTAAAATTGTCCATGTCTTCTTGACAAGTTATAACTACAAAGGACAGTTCTTTCCTTTGTCATAACCACATTTTTTATAATTGGTGCCAATAGAAGGTGTGTCCCTAAAGTCTGGACATATAGAAAAATCACATTTTTTATATATATATATATATATATATATATATATATATATAAACGTCATCCACAGACAGACTGTTTTTCTGTTTCACAGCTCATCAGTGTGGCTAGACATCCGGTTGCCTCAAGCTAGGATCGAAACCCGACTGAATTGGTGTCAGTCGGAGATTCTACCACTAAGCCATCGGGCATTTATAGGGATGAAGGTGGATTTTAGCGTATTTATTTTTAGAAACACGCCCAGTGACTGACAGTGACTCAATTCACTTTTTTTGAAGTGTGTGTGTGTATATATATATATATATATATATATATATATATATATATATATATATATATATATATATATATATATATATATATATATTTTTTTTTACTCCACAGATTAAACCTGATTTTGAAAAGTTGCTGATGTGGTTTTAGTATCAAGTAAGTTTTTACAGGGTAGAGTTGTTAGCTCTACACCTAACTGGTTTTTAATTTATAACTGTTGTTCTAGACTGGTTACCAATCACAGCTAAAGAGTGAAGTCTTCCCTGCTATTATCCCCTATCTCCATGGAGAAATGATGGAATCCTATCTTTTCAAGGGTATTTGTGTGAAAGCAAATGCAATAGCCTCAACTAGAATTCAAACATGATCTAATTTTCTGTGCTAATAAATGCAATATGATACACACATCCCTTTCTGGTCTTGGACATTACTAATTTTTCTTCTAGGTGATGGACAGTTTACGATCATATCACATTGAAACACTGCTTCTTGTATGATCACAGAAGCTAAGCAACATTGAGCCTAGTCAGTACCTAGATGGGTGACTATATGGGAATACCGGGTACTATAAGCTTTGATGTACAGGTGGTATAATGGATAATGGCTCAAGATTGTTAATTAGAGAGTCAAGTTCCAATTCCAGTTGGGTTTGTTATATTCACTTATGCACAAATATCCTTGGGAAAGGTAGGAATCCATCTCTCAAAGACAGATATAGATTAATTAGTAGGATTTGCATCAGTAAATCCTTAGTATCTCCAAAAAATTTTTACAATCTAAAAATATTTTCTGGCTTTAAATAACCTTCAAAAGGTTGATAAGCCATAAAAAAAATCAATCTAGGTGATGGACTCAATCCTTTAATTGTGAACTCATTCAGGGAGTATAAACTTTATTTAATTAATTTTTTTTTTTTTTATAGCTATACAAAAGTGGATCAAAAAGTCTGTAGCCTGGCATGGCTAAGCTTCAGTTTGAAATGTTCACTGAATTTGATCAATATGAATATTATTCATACCCAACTAAAGAACGTTATTTACTTGTTAATTCTATCAAACATAGCTGTTTTTCATTTCAGGTTCTAACAGCGGGTGTAATCAATGGATTATTTAGAGATTCGAGCTGTCATCAAATATCTCAAAATCAAAGGGCTATCCGGTAAAAAAGCACATGCAGAACTGGTTTCAACTCTTGCCGATAATGCGCCCTCATATGCGATGGTCAAGAAATGGTATGCCGAATTTGCCCGTGGCCGCACCAGTACAGACAATGCACCAAGATCTGGACGTCCGGTTGGAGTTTCAACTCCAAAGATGGTCAACAAGGTGCACAAACTTATTACAGCAGATCGCAGAAGAACAATTCTTCATATTTCCAAGAAACTCAACATTAGTTATGGGACAGCTCAGTCAATTATAACCGATAAATTAGGAATGAGAAAAGTTGCATCCTGTTGGGTACCTCGATTGCTGACGCTAGAACAAATGCTTGCTCGAGTCGCTGCATCTGTAGAAAACCTGGCACGATGGCGACAGAATCCTGAAGACTTTTTACACAGGCTGGTCACTGTGGGTGAGACCTGGGTGCATCATTTCGATCCAACAACAAAGAGACAGAACCTACAGCTCGAGGAAAATTCAGAAACTCCACCTGCCAAAAAATTACGGACATCTCCGCCAGGAAAAGTGATGGTAACCGTCTTCTGGGACTCTGAGGGAATTATTATGACCAACTTCCTGGAGAAAGGACGTTCTATCAACAAGGAATATTATTCCCAGGAGCTGAGCCGATTGCAAGAAGAACTGAAAAAAAAACGATGCGGGAAGCTTTCAAAAGGGATCCTGCTGCTCCAAGACAATGTGCCTGCACACACTGCACTACATTCAGTGGCAACTGCAGTTCAGTGTGGGTTTGAATTTTTGCGTCACCCTCAACATTCGCCTGACTTGTCCCCCTCCGATTATTATCTCTTCCCTTTGTTGAAGGAAAAACTTCGTGGTCAAAAATTTGATGATGACGAGGCTCTTGTAGATGCTGTACAATCATTCCTTGAAGACCAAGATGTGGAGTTCTACAGATCTGGCTTGTTGAAGCTGGAGAAGCGTTGGATTGAGTGCATTGACAAAGAAGGAGATTATGTTGAAAAATAAATATTTATTGAGTAAAATAAATACTCTTTTCATCATTAGGCTGCAGACTCATTGATTTAACACATGTATATATAATTTTATTTTCTCCAGTTTTGTAGATGGGTATGGGTTGGTGATGATAATTATCACCAGCTTTGAGCATTGCATTCCTTTCACAAACAATTGCAAGAGTTTAAATGAAAACTAAGGACACCACTGATATTGGAATTTTTTTTTTTTCATTATTAAAAAACATTGAATCATTATTTATTAAAACAATTGACATTGCACTTGTATGTACAAAGGGACGTGGGAAGAATTAGAAAAAAAATACAAACATCCAACTTGATATTATTCATAAAAGACAATTTGATCACATTCTAGGTAGCTGGTAGGAAGGGTCTTGTCTTCTACCCATGGCACAAAGGAAATAAAATTTAAAAAAAAAAAATCTCACTTTTTATAACAAAGAAGTCGGGGGTGGAGTATTCAATTGCGTAAGAATTCAATGCACATATCTTGTTACAGGTGACATATTTGTGCTGCTTTTGTATGCATTGGCTTTTTTTTCCCCCCACCCTTGATTTGCTTTTCCGTAATTATATAACTTCACAAACTCACTTCATGATGTTCTGAGGATGGTGTGAATAAACATTGAAATATCAATGCTTTTTCATTGAATCTTAATTGCCTGCAAGCATTTTTATTTTATTTTTATATCCATTTCATAAAATATTAATGAACTTAAAATCAAAAACGTTCCTGCTTGCAAAAAAAAAAAAAATGATCTGTCTAAAGGACAATTATTCCTTTATATCATTATTACATCATTACTGTATACAATTTTTATGTCCTCGGCAATGTTTATTTACAAGATTAAAAAAAAATATGTGAACCAAATACAATGTTATATTTATTTTCCACCTTTTATAAAGAAATACAATTGAAAAATCTTTTTATTCAAAACTTAATAAAAGATTACAAAATTATCAAAATATGTAAACTCGGTGCCATGCTTGATACACACTTGGGCAATCCTATATCTTTTGATACATGACTGATGAGGCAGATTTTTTTTTCTTGCAGTAGGTTGCCATTTCTTTCTGTGTTAGAGCAGTTGCCATCCAAGGCTATAGAACCCAGTCTGTCATGCTATTTACCCATAGCTGGGGGGAGAAGAGGATTTATACCCTTCCCAAGCATTTAAGTGAATGTAATGGATTCAAATGGAATTCGAACTTGGCTCTCCAATTCCTCAATCCGAGCCACTACTCTATTAAACCAATGGGCCTCCTCACTAAGTACAATAATGCAATATTTATTATTTACCATTTTATAAATAACTATGAAAACATTTTTTTTTTTTAAGGTAAAACCTGGTAAAAATTAAAGACATTCTGTTATTAGACACAAGAGAATCTTTGCCTACCCAATGAATAGGGAGATACACACTCAAAATATTGAGCATTTGTCGTCTAGCCTAAAGACATTCTGTTATTAGACACGAGAGAATTTTTGCCTACCCAATGAATAGGGAGATACACACCCAAAATATTGAGCATTTGTGGTCTCGCCTAAAATCTAAAAATAAAAATTTGGTTCAAAGGAAGAGATGCTGTTGACATATTTTACTGAATTTATGTGGCAAGAGCAAATGAAGGAAATGCATTTTTTCAAAATGTATAATTACAGTTACTCACCATTGTATGTTTATTTAAATTGTCTTGTTCACAGACATTTTTATAAATTTATGAATAAAAAAAAATCTTTTCATATTTTTTCTTTATAAAATGGTAAATAATGAATATTTCATTATAGTTGATTCACATATATTTATAACCTTGTAAATATAAGATTATTCTTGTAAGTAAGCAATCTAATAAATAAATAAATAGTGTTTAATATCTTTGTCAATTCTCAAAAATAAAGAAAATGTATAGCTGCTTGGATTGAGGAACGTGAGAGCCGAGTTCGGATTCCAGTCAAATCCATTACATGCTGATACCCTTGGGAAAGGTATGAATCCTTGTCTTCTCCCCCCAGCTGTGAGTAAATAGCAGGACAGACCAGGTTCTATAGCCTTGGATGACAACTGGTCTACTGCAGAAAGAAATGGCAACCTACTGCAGGAAAAAATCTGCCTCGTCTGTCATATATCGAAAGATACATGGTCACCTAAGTGTGTATCACGCATGGCACATAACTGACTGGTAACTCCACTTTCATATGTTTAGGTTTTATTAAAATTCTAATCATCGCTTTTTGAAACCGTAAATATTGCCGAGGGAGTCAAAAGTGCATACAGTAATAGCAGTGTCATGGGAATAAATGTCCTTATGATGCACTGCTTTGTTTTGTTTTTTTCTTTGTTTTTTTTTTTTTTTTTGTGGGTACAAAAGTTAAAAATTGAAATGACAGCCAATTTTGTCTTTATTATTGTCATCAATACTTCCATGTTATTTTTAGTTAATAATTAAGTCTTAAATTTAAATATATCCCTTCTCTTTTTTTTTTTTTTTTTTATTAAATCAATTGAAAATAAAAGCTAACTTAACAGAATCTCTTCACAATGCTCTGATGATGGTGTGAATAAATATTGGAATATCAATGACCTTGTGATACTATGGAGGCCCACATAGAAAGAGAAAAATTGATTTATCTTGCTCTCAACTGTTTCTGTTTGATAGACCAGCCCATGAGTCCATTTGAATTTTTATTTTCTAAGCAGCATCCACTTTAACCAAAGCATGATGGGAAGTAAAGGAGTGAATGAGGGATTTTCAAGGGTCAAGTGATAACAAAACCAGAGATAGGTTATATCCAGGTGTTGGTCTATATTAACAGTCATGACTGATCAAGGGAGTTCTGGCTGACCCTTGGCAGGAGACAAGCGTGTCCTTGTGGCAGTTCTGAGGCTTCCATTTCGTATTGACAGCCACCACATCAGGATGAGTAGATGGAGAAGGAGGAAGATCTGACATAACAGAAGTTGTGCCAAGTATCACCTACCTACCCACTCAGAATAAAGCCTTGAATAAAATACCTACATATAATATGGGAAACGGTGTTCTCATTCTTATTTATTAACATGGCTTATTTTCTTTTATCGTGTGAGCATGCAGTGGGCCCTTTCCCAGCTTTTAGTGCACTCCAACAAGATTGAGGATGGAAATGTAACATGAAGTGATTACTGGTCGACCAAGAGCAGCATATGTTTCTAATCTTTCATTGTATCTTAATTTCCTCTGTGCATTTTTATTTTATTTTTCTGTCCATTTGGTAAAAGATTGAATGAACTGTTGAAATCCAAAACCTTCATAATACCATATTTAATTCAATCTATCACCAAAACAACAACCAAGGTTGTCATCAATGTGTCCATATTATTCTTAATTAATAACAAAGAATTTTTAATTTAAATGTCATATCCCCTCCCCT